CAATGATAGTATCAATGTTGTTCACACTACCTTTCAGAATGCTCTCAACTAGGTGGAATTATTTTGTCCCGACCTAAAGATCCCTTAGGAGTTGTTGAACCCAGAGAAGGTAGTTGTGGACGAGGAAATAGTCAATGATGATAAATGAGGCTCAAGGCTTTGTTGACTAATGCTTGTAATTTTCTGTTGATTCTAGCAATTGTAATAGTATTTTATCAAACATATCATGATGTTGCTTTTAATGAATTTATTCCTTCATTACATGGTTTGACTACTCGCTTGTTTTCTCTTTGCTTTTCTTGGATTTTTTTTAGCTTTGTGTGACTTTATTCGCTGCATAGTCTTTCATGATTTTATTTCATCATGTGACTTTCTATGATTTATTTCATAATATAATTTGACATGATTTTATGTCATCATGTAATATTTCATGATTTTATTTAATCATGTGGTCTTTTATAATTTTATTTTATCATATAGTCGGCCATGATTTTATTTCATCATGTGGTCTTTTATGATTTTATTTCATCTTATAATTTTCCATGATTTTATTTCATCATGTAATATTTCCTGCTTTTATTTCATCATGTTCACGCACGGGTTGGAGAACGAAGTACGCTTTAACGTCTCTGAGGAGCATGCTTGACCATGGGTGGATTCCCCTTCTCTGCCCCCAGGTGAAAACCTTATTTTAGGCCGACGAATCCAAGGCTCGAAGTAAATAAATTGTAATGAAGTGTAGCAATTGAATGTGTTATTTTTTAGTGAAACAACCTAAACATTAATGTAAGTTATAGAATATTTAGCTATGTGTGCCAAACAATCTACCCGCAACTCATACAAGCTATTCCCTCAGTTCCTTTTTAATTGTCTTATATATATATATATATATATATATATATATATATATATATATATATATATATATATATATATATATATATATATATATATATATATATATATATATATATATATATATATATATATATATATATATATATATATATATATATATAAAATACTTTTTATGCCTACCATGAAACCCAATAATTATTGTTATTTTTTAAACTATGACTTTTCTTTTGCCTATAATACCCCTAATTTTTAATTATTTTAATATATTTTTTTCTCTCTCCATAATAAATAATTAGGGATAATTTTGACAAAATTGTAATCATTACTACCTTAAACTTTGAAAACGACAATTAAAAAGAAACATAATTTTTTTATAAAAAAAAACACTTAAAAAAGAACGGAAGGAGTACCTCTAATGGATAACGGTCTTCTTAGGATTGGGTTAAAAATAAATAAAAGCTAGGCTCTAATTTTAAGACCTCACCCTATATTTTACCTAGATTGACAAACCGACCCATATGACCTAATCTATTTTGACCACTCTAATGCATACTATAATTTTGAAGTTTTCCCAATCTATTGTTCGAGCCAACAAAGTAGCGTATAAATATTTGATTGATTGCAAATAGTCATATTTAAATTTGAATGATCCTCTCCATTTTTTGATAAGAAATAATTTTTTATTTGATAAATAATGTATTTAATTAGATCAAATACATTGATTATTTGATAAATTTTAAAAATTAATTGTTTTTTATAAAAGATAAATAAGGGGTATCTATTACGCTAATGGCATAATTTACTATTATGATTTTGTTTCATTTGACTTTAAATCCGCGTCACTGTAGCTACGAGATATTGTCCGTGTTGCGTGTGAGAAACCTTGTAACGCCCGTTTTATTTCAATTAAATTTAGTTATGACTTTGCCGTGTCTCGTTGCATCGTAGTCGTATTTGAAAATGTGTTTGTTTCGAAGAAAGGAATTGAATCGGTCGAATTTTCTGACAAAAGTGCAGAATCCCGTAGCAGTTTTAGGGAAAACTTCGAAAATTCATATCTCTTGATCCGTAAGTCGGTTTTAGTCCCCGTTCGAAGCGTTGGAAAGCTTAAGAAATGTTCTGTCTAAGAAAAATGAAATTTTGCTGATATGACGGTCGTCACAGGCATGTGACGGTCGTCACGTTCGTGACACTCGTCAGGAACTTGTTACGCTCGTCATAGTAACGAAAAATCCAAATTAAAAACAGAATTGGGACGTGGCCACCTGAATGTTAAAAATTTAGTAACGTATCCCCATATTCCATTATGCTCAATTGAATTGGGAAGTTTTCACAAAAAACAGAAACCGTAAAGGAAGAAAATAGCGTGGTTGAGAGAAATTGATAACAGAAGAATTTTCCATCAGAGAACTTGGAAGAAAGTTGCAGGAGAGTTACCGTAAACCAGAACCCGACCCGGAAGCGTGGAATTGGCCTATATTCTAAGGTAAGGGTGGGGTTCAATTCTATAACCGTGGGTATGATCGATTTCATGTAGGGAATCGATTCATAGGTATAATTTCCGTTAATCGATAAATGTTAGGGACGAGGTTTTTCTATGTAGAAATGAATGTGTTATATCGTTAGTAGTACGATGCTCTAAGGTTTCCCTAATGGGGTAAATATGTAGAAATGAATGTGTTATATCGTTAGTAGTACGATGCTCTAAGGTTTCCCTAATGGGGCAGATACGTAGAAATGAATGAGTTATATCGTTATTAGTACGATGCTCTAAGGTTTCCCTAATGGGGCAAAAGGGTAGTTGTCCTAATTGTTTCGTAATTAAACCTTGATAGAGATTTGTAATTAATTATGTGAATAGGAGCAGATATGTTGTCATTACGATCGTATGTTGAATTCTTAATTGTTGATTTAAGGTTGTTATTGCTCTCATACGTGAACAGGTGGAAAATGATAGTGTCTTGAGTTGTATGAGAATGATGCTCTGTTATGGACAGTTTGGTTGTAAACATAAAGCTTTATTGTATGGTCGTTATGGTTGTGTTGTAGTCCATAATAGGTGCATTTCATGGCATATCATCTTGGTTGGCCTGAATTGGCGTTATTTGGAGTGTTGGCTCCTATCCCGAGTTTTGGAGTGTTGGCTCCTAAATGGGTTTTGGGGTGTTGGCTCCTATCCCGAGTTTTGGGGTGTTAGCTCCTAAATGGTACCATATGCATATGCACAGTTGAGTTGCATTGCTGAGTCGCATAAAGCTGCATAATTATGTTGGTTGTTGGTTGTTGTGGCATACGTGAGATATGAATTTGCTTGCAAACGATTGTCGTTGATGTTTATAAGTTTGCGAAGATTATATTGTTGTGATATAATTTCTAACATGACTTTTATCATGTCTTATGTTATGTTGTTGATATCTCACCCCTTTACGTTGTATGTTACCGCCATTGGTGGTAATTTGCAGGTAGCCCGGAATAGAGTTTCCGCTTTGTCGTTAAGGTGTCGTTGGTCGCTCTGATACGTAGCATTCTTGGGGGAATGAACGATTTATGTTATTGCTTTAGTTGATGCTCTTGTTGCTAAACTTTGTGAAGAACTTCTACTGCATTGTTTTAATTGAACCGTTGTAAGCTTATTACCTTCCGCCGGAAGTAATGACAAGTTGTTTTATGATTAAATGGTTAAGTAATACATTGTTGACTGTTCATCCAATTTCGTGCTACGTATGTTATTTGAATGTGGTTGCATAAATGCATATTGTCTGTTCAGTTGAATGTAACATCTCTGATATGAAGAATTTTGGACGTGTGACGACCGTCACACCTTCATTGTCCTTTAGAAATATCGTCTCGTTGGATTGAGATGTATGAGTATTGCATATAAACTATCTTCCCTCACAACCAGCCTATAATAATTGCCCTCTAGTTGAGGCTAAGGTGCACAGTGCAAAACACACCCGAATGTTAATGGTGTTAAATTATTCCGATGTTATAGTATTAGTAGAAAACAACACCTTTGAATGTTAATGGTGTTAAATTATTCCGATGTTATAGTATTTGTGGAGAACAACACCTAAGTTTTCTCCTATTTAAAACACTACTTGTATGTAGCCTTAATAATATTGTCAAATTCAGATTTGTTATTCACGAGACTATTAAATCTATCTACCTCAACGCCGTTCTTTGAAAATTAGTCTATATTTTAGAGAACTCTACTTAGGAGTATGGACAACAAACAAAATCTAAAGTTAATACAATTTTGATGATATCGCCAAATTCAAAGATGCCGTGCATGAAACTATTAAACCTATCTACCTCGAATTCTTGAGTCCATGGTACACACCCCTTCACTGAATTAGTCTCTATTTTTTAGAGAACTCTACGTAATGTAGGAATGAAAAAGAGATGAAAAACAAAATCTAAAGTTAATAGAACTTTGATGATATCGCCAAATTCAAGCCTGTTGCGCATGGGACTATTAAATCCATCTTGAGTCCATGGTGCACGCCCTCGCTGAATTAGTATATCTTATAGAGTACTCTATTTGGATGAAAGACAAAATCTAAAGTTAATAACTTTGATGATATTGCCAAATTTAGACCTTGTCCTGCATGGGGCTATTAAGCCTATCTATCTTTGTATGCATTGTGATTTGAATGGCATGACATATATGCGGTAAGTTTTCATTAATCATAAAACACATTATTCAATCAAAGGCATGATGATACTTATATAAGATGTTTATAATATAATAAGAACTCAACCAAACAAGAATATAGCGAATATAGCAAATACCCCCATAGAATTCGAGAGCTAACATCTTAGATTGAATTTCCCAATCCAAATTAGATGCAGAAAGAAAAAATCGACCCAATCCAAGGAAAATATTTTTTCCAATAAGAAAAACAAAACCTGCCAAAAGCTCAAATCGAAATAGGTCTAAACAAGGGAAATTAATGTCTTCCAACATCCTTTCAAAATAATTATTGTTGACTATGAAAATCCTTATTACTCTATTGGCTATAGCTATAGCTATGAAGTCAAAAATCTCGATAAAAACTTCAAAAAACAATACTGAAAAAATTCAAATGAAAGAGGGCAAAAAATCCATTTCGATTGTCACTACCACTACGACTAACATTGTTTTATTCCTTTAACGAGACAAGTTGGTCAACCACCACTTCAGAACCTGACGAAGCTTCCCGGAGGACTTGCACTGCCTCAGACACCTTTATCTTGAGCTCTTCGGGAGAGTCGATTAAATGTATCACCTCTGACTGGTCCATCTCTAACAACATTCCGGTAACCTTTGCAGTTTGATGGTTCGAGGTATGACGACCCACCAATGGATATAAATGCTCACCCAGCATCTGTTTAGCCAATAAAAATAAAAGACTTTAATTTTAAAGACATAATGATATTGACAAAATTTAAATTTTAATACATGCACAACTTTTACATACCAAGCGTTGATTTTCTGGGGTGGCAGAGGCCAAAGCCGAAGTAAGTGAGTTGTTAGACAACCCACCATGATGCTGATTGCTAATAGGAGCAACCGCTCCAGATGTATCCATCATTTGATGGGTGAGACCTTCAGAATCTACTGCATCCACACCATTCCTTACATTGTATCTAAACCCTTGGTTGGAATTTCGGTTGGGCAGCTGGATTCAAAATTAAGATATTTCAAAATGTGTTGGAATTGGCTACTAATACTGTTTTACTGTTTTCAAAACAATAAAGCTTAGATTTAAGGAATAAATACCTGGTTTTGTTGCACCGGTTGGAAATTACCAACTCGACGTGCGACCATCCTAGGTCCAGGATGACCTTGCCTCTGAAGGTGATATGGCATGATAAAATTTGGGGCAACACCAGATCGCATAGTTGGCATGAGCTGTTGCTGGAAACCGTATCCATTTGGCTGAGGCGGAATGAGACCAGGTGTACCTTGACCAAAATACAATTGTTGCGGAGCAAGTCTTGGGGCACTTGGATGATATCCAGCAATTCTTCCTGGCAAAGTTGTGATTCCACCAGGTGCTTGAATATAAGAAAATTGAGCCTGCAAGTAAGCGAGCTTATGAATCCAATTGAATTTATACAAAATACGCAGTAAGCAAGACTAAATTTGTTTGTGTGAAAAAAATAAAGTGAAAGTAAACAATTTCTGCAAGGCTATCATATGAACAAACTTTCAACCACAAAAATTATGTCAAGTAAGGTTGATTTAAATTTAGATAGTATATATACAACATAATAGTCAGGCATCACCTGCAAACGAGCTTTCCTTTCTTCTTTGCGCTGGGCCACGGCAACATAAAGGGGCTTATGTCCTATTATCTTTCCATTCATTTCATTTATCTGAAGGAAAAAAAAAACATAATACAACTTAAGCATCAAATGAAAAAGGATATATTTGGTTGAGCAAAGCCTTTATGAAGCAAATGACATACAGCTTTACTAGCTTCTTCGGGAGTCAAAAAGGCAACAAATCCAGAGCCCTTGCTATGACCATGGACATCATACATCACCTAAAGAAACAAATTAAGTACAGTTATAGACGCAAAATATTCAAATAATTATGATGAAGTGAGTAATGACACAAATGCATGTAGGCAGAGTATGTAACCACGGAGCATCATGTATCCACTCACATGCACTAGACCAATACAATAAAACAAAAAGATACAAATATTCAAAGACAAATTTTGATAATATACCTTGCAAGATGTTATAGTTCCAAACTCGGAAAATAACTCCTTCAACTTTTCTTCATTAAGATTGTCATCAAGGTTTTTCAAATACAAATTAGCACCTTGCAACTTCTCATATCTTTTTATTTTTTCCTGCTCAAATCTGGCTTTCAACTCTGTCTCCCTTTCTGATTTTCTCTGAGCCCTCCCAACAAACAAAAACTTTCCATCGTTTGTTGCGGTCCCATTCAGACCTTCAACTGCAGCAGCGGCTGATTCTGGGTTTTGGAAATTAACAAAACCAAAACATCTAGACTTCCCATTATCATCTTTCATGATCACAGCACTTGTTATTACACCATAGGTGTTGAAGAGCTGTTTAAGATCCTCATCCGTGTATGTTTCAGAAAGGTTTTTCACATAAACATTTGTAAACTTAGGTGAACCATTTCCCGACCTTTCCTGGCGCCGTATGAAATATCCTACATAAACTTTTTTGTCATTTAACAGCATTCCGTCCAATTTTTCAATGGCATTCTTTGCAGACTCATCATTGTCAAATTGAACAAAACCATATCCCCTTGATTGACCAATCTCATCAATAGCTACCTTACAAGAAAGCACAGGTCCAAAGGCAGCAAAAGTATCATGCAGCGCTTTGTTATCTATTGATTTGTCCAAATTCTTAATAAAAACATTTGCAAATCCACTTTTCCTAATGCTAGGATCTCGATGAGAAAACATAATACGAATAGGCTTCTCATTAATAGGAGTAAAGTTCAAATGCTCAATCGCATTAATAGCTGCAAAATAAAATTTGGTATAAGAAAAGCAAATATAAGTTAGTCAATGCATTTTAAAGACAACTTATTAAATTGAACAATTTTTTCTTTTAATATAAGGAATACATTGTCTTATAAAATGTACTTAGATTTCTAATATAACTCATGCTCATAAAACTAACTTAATAATACCTCAAGCTTATAACCACTACAAAGGTTACATCTCAAGACAATATGGAACTAAACTCACCTCCTTAACCCAACCCAATTAGGGTGTTGTACCTGCAATAAAGGCAGATGAAGTGGCCCAATAGAAACACGCTAAAATCACATGCAAGTACTCTAGTTACATTAATCATTAATAAAAAGAAATAAATGAAACAACCGCCGACAAGTAACTATTAATGATATACTTTCTTAGTCACAAGAAACAAGTAACTAAATATAATATGTCAACTATTTTTTTTCTGACATAAATCTACTATAAGATATACCTTGAAAAATTGTGTTAGCAAAAATAAAGCCAAAAAGTACATCAAAGAGCAATGAAAAACAAAACACCACAAGTATAATAAGAAAATCATTATTGGCACATGTCATGTTTACTTAATTATGAGTATTTGTTCCTTTTATTTTGTCTCACGGAATATAAGGAAAGGAACAAACATGACAGACCTACACAACATAATTATCGAGAAAGAAATAGATTATGGAACCCAACACCATTCACCCCATAAAAATCACAACAAGATTTATGATATTTCTACAATTAATCACAACCACAATTGCAACAAATTTCTACAAACATAAGGATCGCTTTCATGATTTAAATAATGATGAATGATTTGCCAGAATGATTAGAAAACAACACACATCAGCCATCATGACTAAGTTTTTAACGTTCAAATGAACCGACCAGAGAGATTAACGACATTTTGAAAAGGGTTTTAAAAAAAACCCACGAAAACAATATTAACCATGATACCATGGTTTTTAAGTGTATACCATTGGGGAAACTTCAACCTTCTTAAATAGTAGCATGACAAATTAAACACTAAGGCAAAAGACAGCCCACACGTGATATTTCCACAATTACAGTGTTACCATAATTGCAGCCGCATCGGTCATATTTGACAACAAATTTCTACAATGATCACAATCATGATTTAAATGATGAATAATAGGTCAACATGTGAAAAAGGTTTTGAAAATCAGCACAGATCAGAAACCCATGACTAAGTTTTATAAGTCCAAATGATCTTAACGTGACAAAAATGAATAACAACATTTTGAAAAGGGTTTTAAAAAGCAGCATGCATCAGTAATCATGATTAATGACTAAGTTTTTAACGTCCAAATGATCGTAAAACGACTGTGATTGCAGTGATTAGCGGCATTTTGAAAAGTGTTTTTTAAAAAAATTCCCGCAAAAACAATTGTAACCATGATAATGTCAGTTCAAGTGTATTAAAATGTAGAATAACAACTTAAATACGAAGTTAAAAGATGGCCAACTCGCCAATTGCAATCTTTTACAACCCTTTCTACCTAATACCAATGATCAATACAATGATTTAAATGATGAATGATATGTCAAATAGGTAAAAACAGTGTGCGTATTCGTTGCACCTCGTTGCACCGTGTATTAACAACATTTCAAAAAAGTTTTTAATGTCTATAGACTGGGGCCTCTTCAACAGTATTTAGTTGAGATCACCGACAAAAGATGCTGATCTATGCATATCACCGACAAAAAATGTTGATCTAGACATATCAGTCACAAAAAATGTTGATCTAGACATGGAACACGAACTGACCTGACACACTTCTACACAATATTGATTAACAACATTTCAAAAAGGTTTTTTAAAAAAGCCTGCGAAAAGAATTGCAACCACAGTACATGTTTTTAATGTCTATACAAATACCGTATTTAGTCGTGATTGCCCACAAAAGATGCTGATCTATAATATCAGCCACAAATAATGTTGATCTAGACATATCAGCCACAAAACGATATTGATCTAGACATATCACGCACAAAAAAATGTTGATCTAGACATGGAAACCCGACATTGACACTTCAACCTGACACTGACACTTCTACCACAGTATGACACTGATTTAACTAACACAATCATTAATCAGACCAAAAACAATTTTTCAACGCAGTATTCACGTAAGTAATCACAATGCATGCCATCAATCAGAGATCATCATTCAAAAACTAATAACAAGAGAGTGAAAATCGAAACACAAACCATCATGAATATGGTTGAAGTTGACATAAGCATAACCAAGCGACGATCTCTTGGTCTGATCCCTACAAACCCTAACCGAAGCCACCTGAGCAATCTGATTGAACAGATCATAAAGCTGACCCTCGTCCACATTCCGTTCAAGATCTCCAACATACAGAGACGCCCTGTTAAACCTCCCAACTCCGAGACCACCGTTCATTGCCACGGGAACCACATTCTTAGGTGATGATGAAATCGCAGCCATTTGTTCTGAACAAAAAACAATCTCAGTATATAACGTTAAGAGAATGAGAAGAAAAAACTATACGATACGAGAGAGAAGAGAATGAGAAGAAAAAACTCACCGTAACAAAAGAGATTAGTGCTGAATGAAATTGTGATTAGGATTAGGGTTTTTTTTCCTTATATATGCGAAAAAATTGGGAGAGTATTATTTTTTTTTAAATTTTTTGAGAATTTTTTTTTGTTCTCCTTTTGATGTCTCCGAAACAGAGAACACAAGGTGTTTCTGCGGAGAGAGTGAAAAAAAACGGCGAGTGTGACAGGGTTTTTATACCGTGTTTTTCGGTTTTTATAGTTTGATTTTGTATACCGAATGAGAAGGGGTATCACACACGACACAAAGGTATGTCACGTGGGTTTTTAATTTTGTCTGCCGCAAGTACCGTTTCGTACTTGACTGATTATTGTGGCACACAATTGTGCTGAATCGGTAATAGGGATATTAAATTAATTTGTTAATTAAAATATTACTGGTATTGTGCAAGGGTTAGTCAAAGTCTGTCCTTAATTTAATCATAAGAACCAATTGTAACAAATATTTAATTTAATAAATTATTGATAAATTCTTTATGCTTGTGAATTTTAATGAATATTAATATATTTAATATAAATAAATTTAAATTTTTAATTTTTTTTAAAATAAAATAATATTAAAATAAAGTATGATATTAAATATTATTATTGTATTAAATGAAAATATTGATATATAATTAAATTTATGGTTAAATATACAATACTCTTTAAAATGTTAATATTTTACGTCTTTTGTCTTCTAAGTATAAAAGTTATCTTCTATAATATATATATATATATATATATATATATATATATATATATATATATATATATATATATATATATATATATATATATATATATATATATATATATATATATATATATATTACAGAGATAAATTGAAATTTATCTATATTTTAAGAATGTTGTATATTTAACCCTTAAATTTAAGGATATCGGAGAATAAAATCTATGGTACCATAATTTTTTAGATTTATTTTTAAATTATTTTAATAAATATTTATTTAAATATGATTTATTAAATGTATGAAGAAAAATATTGTCCAAATACAAATATGCATAAATATTACTCTTTTTGTTTTAAATTATAAGTTTTTTGTGAGTTAAAAAATTATTTTAAATTATAAATCATTCTATAATTTTGATACAATGTTTATAACTTTTAGATATATTTTATGCCATAGACTTTTTTTTATGTAATTAATGAAAAATAGTATTGTAAAATTGTACATAGTTTCTCTTTTTTATATAAAATTAAATGTATTTATTAATTTGTGTAAAATTTCAAAAATGAACCATAATTTGAGATGGATAGAATAATCTCTTAATTCTTTTTTAAAATATAAATAATAATTAATATTATTAATTTACTTTAAAATACATAAAATCAAGATTACATGTATTTATGCATAAAAGATATGGACTAAATTAGCGTTTTTGTTTCCCAATTTTATCTGATTTACGAAATTAGTATTTCTATTTTAAGTTAAAAAATTTTGGTCCTCTCTCACATTTCTTTCGGTGAAAATCAATGAGAGGTTCGTATTTTAACTTAAAATATATTTATGAAGCTCCATAATAAATTTATATACGATGATTTATCATGTTTAAAAAAAATTAATTTTTTTAAAAATGGAAAATATCGTTAATTTTAACTGAAAAAATATAAGAGAATAAAAAAATTATTTAAATTTAAAATAAGAGAATCAGCTTCGTAAATTAAATAAAATAGAAGAATAAATTTGTAATTAAACCAAAAAACAATTTAGTTATATTTTTATACAAAATTTAGCTTTTCCTTGTAAAAGAAAAATATAATTTATGCTTATAGTTAAGAACATCTACTGTTCATTGTAGTTTTTTTTTTCCACTCAAAATATTATTCTAAATTGCACGCAAAGAACATCTTATTTGTAAAAAAAGTGTTGAAAGAATGACATTGATTGAAAAACAAAAACAAATATTTCTTTAAGAAAAGATGAAACTTTATATAAATAAAATGTTGTGCATTTATTATATTAACAAAAGTAAAATTTTTGAGATTTGAATTATCTTCACTTTTTATATCTTTTATTAAAAAAAAGTGAAAATTTATAAGAGAAAAATAATTTTGTTAATTTTTATGAACTTTATTTAATTTTTCAATAAAATTAATAATGCAATTTTGATAATATCTTTAATTGCTTGTATGTTTTGTAATTGACAATTAAAAATTACTATTACTTAAAGGTAATAATTAGATCCATTAAGGTAAAATCTATTTCATTCATCCATCAAATCCATCCACCACGTAAAAAATAGTTAATGGATTGGATTAAATACATTCATTTATATGTATGGATGGATTCGATCCATCCAACATATTTTAAGGATCCAATCAATTATCTTTATTTTTTTTAAATAATTAAAAATTTACAAGGAAAATAATTGATTTTTTTCTAATAAAATAATTGGAATTTTACCAAAAAAAAAGATTTTTTCTGAAAAAAAATAATAATTTTTTTTTTTGAAAAAAAATCTGTTTTTTTCGAAAAAAATCTGTTTTTTTTCCAAAATAAATAACTGATTTTTTTTTTAAAAAAAACAATTTTTTCCCGAAATAAAAAACCAATTTTTTTCCTGAAAAAAAATTGATATTTTTCAAAAATTAAATTTTTTTTTTTAAATACAAAAAATTCAATTTTTTTCATGAATATATTAAAAAACAATTTCTTTTTAAATACAAAAGATGAATTTTTCGAAAATAAAATAAAATTGATTTTTAAAAATAAAAAAATATATATTTATTTTTTCGAAATAAAAAAAAAAGTTGGATGGATGGATATCCATCCATTAAAAATATGTTATTGGATGAATTTTATTCTTAATGAATAGATTGTTTTAAGCCATCCATTAACAATCCAATTCATATCCATCCAATTCATCCATTTTGTTACCCCTACTATTACTCTTATGATTTTGTGCAATCATGATTATTCTGCACTATTGTAATAAGAGTACTTTAGCTTTTTACACTAATTCGTGTTCAAAGATGAGTTTCTTCTCCACTATTTTGGTTTTATCAATTAACATTTTTACACAAATCAAGATGATATCAACGGCTTAAAAATGGAATGTCGTATTTTATGTTTCAAGATTTTTGTAGATATATAGTAGTATAACTTGTGACTGATTCCCTTTACCGCCATACTCGAGTTGCACACAACGTGAGTGATGAAAGCATACAGATTTGGTATCATTTATGTGTTTTGAGTATTATTTGTGAGTTTTGATATTTTTGTCAATTCGACTATTGATTGAGATAAGTAGGATTGCATATTTGTAATTTGAATATTATTCCGTTTGTGTGTTTGTATGCTTTCATTATTTTAATTTGATTGTAATTGTTTCGGCTACTATTAATTTGTACCATTGAGAACTCTTTACATGTCATGAATTAAATTTTGTAATATTTGTTAGTATTTCTTTTTGAGCTTATGAAATTGCTCTTTTGATTTCCACAAGTGTAGCTTGAATCACTAAATCGGGACATTAAAATTCGGATGTTTTAGTATTTGATTAGAATCACGTGTTATATCTAATTCAAATCACTCACCCTTGAAAATTGGAATTCACATTTGGACCAAATGACTTTAATCACAACTTGAACATGATTCGAATCATAACCTCATTTGATTCGAATCAAATGCATATCATGATTTGAATCATGACCTTTGAAAAACACCCCTTTTGGGTCAGTCCAAATTGATTTGAAGCACAAATCTTTCTTGATTTAAATCACACATCTAAAAATCTAATTTTCATCTCTTAATTAAATAGTTGTTTCTTTTGGTGAAAGTAACAAGTGTGTGAAACCTATGGTGAAATTCATAGATACTGTTATAGACTGGGTCAAGACCTTCCTTTCATCCGAGCAGGCCCAACCCAAGGCTATGATGATGAGGCCTAACAAGGCCTAATTTTCTTTGTCGGGCAGAAGTCTCAACAAGACACACCCCCTGGGCAGAAGACCCTCCTGACAGGGAGGTCCACACGCATTCCCCACGTTCTCCATGTGTCCCCCACGCGGGGACACGTCATCAGGAAACTACCCACTTCCGAAAGAGATGGTCAGCCCACCTTCAGAAGATCATGGGACAGTTGATCTAGGGCGAAGACAACGTGTTGATCTTCACTACGCCAAGTAAGCCCTTGCAGTTACTTGTGTTGGGCTTGGCAATCCAGCCCAATGCAATGTAACCGTTGGCCCTGTGTTGGGGGCACATTATAAATACCCTCTTTCACCATAGGGTCAGGTATTCTATTCTCCACATCTTCTCTCTGTACTCGCTCTCTCTAGTTCCGGTACTTAGGCATCAGAGCATTTTGCAGGTACACCCTCTTCCTCCTCCACAACTCTGGTGAAGGCATCAGATCACGATGCATGACCGGTCACTGACTCCTTTCTAATCAGGTGAGATCAGTGGCATCTTCTATGGGAACCCCGCTTCCCCCGTTCTTTCTCCTGTCCGAGCACAACAGCTCAAGAACCAAAGTGAAATTAACAACAACTTCGATTCCAATCATGACCAGCCCACGCCACAGCAATGCTCTAGGATCTGCCTTTGCCCCCTTCTTCAATGGGGACGGCCATGATCCCAACACGGCTGTCCGCATCGAAGAGGGTGACCACAGGGACAGGCGCACCACCTCTCCCTCATCCGAAGACGCGACTTACATCGCCGTCCAACGCTTAGACAGTTTCGTTGTCTACCAGCCCATCCTGGTCCCAGTTGGCGCCGATCCTACCGTGGTGGCTTTGTCCGCGGCCATCAACCAAACCAACTTGATGATCTTCGAGAAGAACGAACAAATATGGATGCTCGAAAGAGAACAACCATCGCGCTTTCCCCCGCGGAGACACTGCCGTCCTATTTCCTTCAG